ATTGTAATAGTCGAGACAAGTGAATCATCTCCTTAATCCTTATGGATTTGACCTATCGGGATATGTGGTATTACGAAAATGGATTTTGAAAGCTCTGAGAAAGACCATGTTCGGTTATTTCTGAAAGATATTTCATGGGCTACCAATGCTAAAAAGTGGTGACGAAACATTTTGAAGTAATAGAATGCGACGCTATATAAGTCTGAGATGAACTGCTTATATGCATTTTCATTATATGCAGGGTAGAAGGAGAACCAAAATCAGTGCTATAAGCAAAACTATAGTCCACATATTTAGTGGACTTTATTATCTTCGTAATCATATATAATTAGTGGGTGTTATGTTAGCATTTTGAAATAGGGCCGATTTTGCTAGGAAATCCACTCCCATCCTGTTTAGGGCATACAACAAGTTTGGCGAAGAACAAAACGAATTATTTACAAAAATATGAGGTTATTTGGTTGTTTAATATACTTTCTTTAATTAAATCAAAAACTCTAATAATATATATTTCAAATGATTTTTGCATTCTAATAATGAACTGAAAATTAAAAATCTATTTGTCCAACGAATGTCTGGCGGCTTTTCAGTTCTGAAAACTGTATTTGACAGTTAAAGTGTGAATGCAATTATCCATTTAGTCCATATGTGTATTCACAGCCTCCCTTAATCCTTCGCTTAAGTATACCGTGATCCATGAATTAGTTGACACGAGCTATTTTAACAAACAAAAGTGTGGTATTTTTACAAGAAGGTAAAGTCAGTTTTCTTCGCCCAACTATCATCAGTCTTCAGATTAACTACTTCGTTGAATATTTAAGTATACGGCGGCCCAGCAATTGATTGACATCTCCATGGTTGGAAACACAATAAAGCAACTTCACTAAATCACTATACTAATCAGATGTTGAAGCTCAAATAAATAAAGAATGCCTTATGCTGGCTTATGAACTGGCCTCATCCAGCCCCTAACCATTTAGACTGACACAAGTGTCGGTAGATATGGGTGTGGATGAGGATGTTGATGTTTTATTAATCCTCATCCACACGTCTACACTCACCCTCACTCATCCAAAACTCACAGATGGTCTCGAGTTTATCCATTCCCTATACAATAAGTCTCGATTCAGTCAACTGCGTTCTTTCCAAAATAATGATAAATATTGTGGAGTACAAATTAATGCGCTGCTCGAACGATCGATAGTAGAGTTGTCAAGATTCCTGTCTATGAGGACTACGCTACTAAACAATGGATATCCATATTTCAAATCGTTTTTGAACATTTTCAAACACACACACACTAGGGTGTTCAACTATACTTGTTCTTATTTATTGTGACAAATCCCTGCGGGTTCAGAAAAACGGATACTGGCAGAGAAATTCGGGTTCATAGAAAAGGAACTCACTGGGTGACGCAAATGAATTACAAAACAATTCAAAATTTTTATATTATATATGCATATTTATAGAAGTATATATATAATTATAATAAATTCATTAATATCTACCAGGGTCTGCCATGGTGTGGGCGTGAGAAGGGAGGTTAAGAGCGGCGACACACACACACACATTATACACGATAGGGTGGGTATCATGAAGGGTGTACACAGCGAGAACATACACATCATAACCCACATATTTTTAGGACCCTGGTAGACTCTGCTGACTTGGATAGAAACTAATAAATCCTTGTGGATTAATCAATAAAAGTGAATAGAATTTGAATTATTTTTCTAATTCTATTTTTTGGATTACTTTTTAATTCATTTACGTCATTCAGTGGAATTCCTGTCTATTGTTCGCATTTCAGTCGGCTACTTCTTCATAATTAGAAGCTCCAACTCAGAGATGGCAATATTGGTTCTATACCTCTAACTATTGGCCAGAGATCACGATGTTCGGTTCGTTCCTCCAGCACATTGGTCCTTATGTTCAAGATGCACGACAACAGAAGTTCAGACAAAAAACATGCATATGGATTACTTGATCATTGGATTCTGCTCAGATCACTACACTATAGAGATCAACTACGCAAATCAAGAACACTGCAGTTATATTACAATTCGGTCAAAGAGATGTCAGCAATCCTCTAGTCCATCAAAATTTGTTCTGTTCTTGATATGTTGCCGTCAACTCATTTTTCATCCTCTATGCCTATGTCATGTGTGTCTCCCGATCTTATATCTTTGATAAGGGAGTATCCCTGATTCGTTGCCATCGACTCACTCTTTCTTAATTATTTCGAATTCGTTTCCTGACTGAATATGTATTTTAAAAGCCATTGCACATAAGCCACTACCACTCCTGCTCAATCGATGTTATCGACTTGGCTAATATTTTTACAGTAGGTAGGGCTAATATAGTTACGAATAATGTAAAATGTTCAGCTCTAGCAGATAAGCCATTCTGGATATATAGACAATACAAATATGAGGAGGCAGTCTACATTTGGAGTACCTTCGAGTGCAATACTTGTCAGCAAAGAATGAAAGCGGGTAAGCCTATTTTGCAGCCATTGTCAGATTCGAATAAGAAGTGGATCCTGATCATATTTTTTAGATTTATTTCCTGAAAATCGGCCTTGACGATTTTCGTGTCTGAGGTTCCCTACAGGTATCGTGAAGAAAAACTTTATTTTTCAAAATTTTTAAACTAATGCAGGTGTAGATTTAGGAGTGTTAATTACGAAAATCATAACGAGAGCTAACAAAACTCTTTTGTTTTTTGAAATAGTATGGACCAATCTATGAGACTTATTATTCCTTGTTGGGTTGCCCATAGAATTACCGCTTGAGAAAATTTATCAAAACGAAAACTGTATCTAACTCAGAATTTTGAGCTCTTCACGAATTTAGACTTTTTCTGGAGCAAAAATATGAGCTTTAGAAAAAGTGGCGATTCTGGGGCTGAAATTGACCCCCTTTCGAATGTAAATATTTTCACATATAGAATTTCTCGTGAAAAAAGGCTTGCCGCATTGCAAAATGTTGTCCACTAGAATAATTTTTAAGCTTTATCTAATATTGCTCCCAAAAAACGAAAAAGTTGTGCAATAAAGTCAAAAACTCCAAAAATGGTTCATTTTTTGACCACTTTTTAGGGTTTTCACCTATAAATGGATGGGTTTCAGTAAGAAGTATGGCTTGCGGCAACGTCAAACGCTTCCCGTAAGGGCAAATTTTTGAGCTCTATCTAATGATATTCTCAAAAATAAAGAAAAAATTGTGCAATTGGGTCGAAAATCCGAAAAAAATCGCTATAACAGCAAAATATCATGAATATGCGTCCATATTCTTAGGTTTCACCAGTAAAACTTTGATTTCAAATGAAATCATTGTCATATTTACAATCAGTACAAAATCTAGATAAAATAGGATATCTAATAGTTAAAAAAAAATACATTTCACCGATTTCAACCTGAGAGGAACCGCTAGCTCCTTTATGGAAAAATACAATGAGGCGGGAGAGGCATCGAAATTCGACGAATTTTTTAAAAATATTAGATATTCTATTCGATGTAGAATTTTGCCCTGATTGCGAATATGACATTTATTTCATTTGAAATTGAAGTTTTTATGATGAAAACCTCAGAATATGAACGCATATTCATGATCTATTTGCTGTTATGACGATTTTCTGAGTTTTTTTGATCCTATCAAGCAATTTTTTTCTTTTTTTTAGACCATCATTATATAGAGCTTGAAGAGTTGCTTTTTTGGGAAGAGTTTGACATTGCGACAGGTCTTGCTTTTTACTGATATCACTGGTAGCAAATTTCAAACTTGTGCAAATTTTGTAACCTGCGTGTCAAAATTATTTAAAATTTCTATTCTTCAGAAATTTTGAAAATTGACTGGAGATCTCGTATATATTCAGCAGACATGAGAAATCGGAACTTCACTCACACTGTATTTTCCTAAGATATTACCAGGAAAGCAGCAGACTGAAGAGAAGGTGGCAACCTTTGAAGAAAGAAGAAAATGCTTGCTACTCTTTTCGTAGTATGTGTATATCTTTATGTGGCTATACTTCAAAACCCTTTAGCTCTATACTTTAGGAGTGTTATTTACATCGTTCTGTATTTTCGACTTTGTTCGAAAACTCAAATTTTCCATTAACTCGCACTGAGTAAATTTCTGATTTTTGATTTTCTAATCATTTTCATAGATGAGAAATTTAGCCAAAGCTGGTAATAATTTGAATTCTACCACGTCCTCACTGAAACCTATTCACATGTAGGCAAAACCCTCACAAATCACATAAAATAAAATGAACCATTTTTGGGTATTTTGACTTTGCTGCACAATTTTCAGTTTTTTGAGAGCAACATTAGATAGAGTTTGAAAAAATACTCTGGTGGAGAAAATTTTGAGATGCAACACGCTCTGCTTCATGAAAAATTCTTTCTGTGAAAACATCTATATTCGACAATAGATAAATTTTAGCCGCAGAATCGACAACTTTTTTTCTATAGGTCAAATTTTTGCTCCCTAAAAAGTTCAAATTCGTGAAGAGCTGAAAATTCTGAGTTAGAAAGGATATTTTTTTGATAAATTTTCATAAGCACTAATTCTAGGGGCAACCCAACAAGAAATAATAGGTCTCATATTGTGACCCGTGCTATTTCAAATACTAGTGCAAGCGTTGGGAATTGAACAAAATGCTGCTTTTTTATATAGACGATCTGGGTAGGCATGCACCAAGTGCAGTCGCAAGACAGGTAATAGTCCCCGCTGTAAATCAGCCGTGACTAGCTTGCAGTTATAACTATTACCAAATCGACTTGTCCGCCATTCCTATTGGTACCAATCGAACTGATGTCAAAGCCTAACTGGAACATAGTCCCTTTGTACGGAGACACGCTTAGTCTTTTAGACGCTAAATTCAAGTTTTAGAAAGAAAACCGTGTGGTTCATTCTTACGAATTCTTGTAGAAGTTGTTGTAGAAGTTTTGGTAGAGGTCTTTGTTGTCGTCCGTATTGTAGTAGAAATCGCTATAATCAAACAGAATAGAACATGTAGATTTTCTCAAGACAATGTCCGAACTCCTTACTTCTAAACGTTGTTGTTGTACTAGTAGGACGAGCTGAGGGAGGACATATTTGAATGTTAGCCAATGGCATTGGATAGCAAACAGGTTGTTGACATCGTGTACTGTTAACACATATTGTTTGTGCGATCGAACATGTAACATTGTCTGAATTACATCGTACCATTGAAGTGCAGGAAAGACTAGCGACAGCACAAATGCCTGAGGTAGTTTTATTAACAGTATTGGTCAATGAAAAGCATTCACAATCGAGATTCGAAGAACACGGCAAAGATGATGATTTACAAAGAGTTGAATTGCATGTTGCCAAGGCTAAACTGGGTGATGGTGTTGTTGATTGAGCTATGACACGACATGGATCAGAAAGTAGAAGCATTTGTTCAAAAAGCAACATAACACCTTACCTGTAGTTTGAAACGGACTGTGGCATAGACTTCGAAAGAAAATTAAAGAAATTTTTTAGCTAAATTTTATTGAAACACACTGATTACTCACCTTGCCGTCAAGAAAATATATATTAAAAACATTAGAAGTAATTGAATTTCTTATTATTTTCGTTCAACGTTCTGTTATATAGACTGAAGTCTCTTGCACAATTAGTCTGTAATAAAAATTGTCTTCAAACCCTATTTTTATGTATTGATCAAAAAACACAAAACACTGAGATTTTGTTTCTTTTGTTCCCAACAGCATAAAAATCAACAACAACAAAAAAACAGTTTCCCTTTAGTATGGATATTTTACCCAAGGAAGAGAGCATTTCTTAAAAATCACACGCGATCAATAAATACCATTTTCGAAAGCATGTGAATTTTATCAGTGAATTATTTTAGTTTCCTTTGAAAATCTTTCTGACAACCTTGAGCAAATTTTTCAACATGAAACAACCTCATTTGAATCCATGTACAGCAGCATTTAGAATAAGAATCTCGGATAGCTGCTTGTAGATGGATTTATCCTCTAAGTTTTTTCTTAGTTTTATAACTCGAAGAAGTCAATAACATATCTTATCAGAGGCTAGATAGAGGAAGAGAAACATCCACATTTTATGAAACTTCTCTTGTGTACTTTCTACGAAGTTTAAAAAGAAGAATGAAAATTGTATAATTAGCAGAATTTGTGCCATATAACAATAGTGACATTTATCTATTTTGCTAACAATTTACAGTTTTCCAAAGACATCGAAATTTCTCGCTTTTGAAAACGTGACAGTTTATTTTGCAGTTCTTCCAAGGAGAAGTAAACGATATCCATTATATCATATATGAGTGAAGAGTACGGCCATGTTATTTTTTTATCCCGCGAAGAAAAATGGCTATGATTTGAGTGTTACTTAACCATTTTTAAAACTTGTTTCCTTTTACTATGACTTAAAGACTGCCATTCACTTCTGAAAAAAATTGATTTTTTATTTGTTTTATTTCTCGAGAAATCATAGCAACAGTGCCAAAAATCTACCTTCTAAGACCACCTGGTGACAAAAAGATCAAATTTTCTGTATGCCATTGAAACCATTTTTAACTTATTTTTTAGTTAGATTTGTAGAGCTTGCCGAGAGCTTTCGGAATATATTAAAATTCTTTTGCTTTAGACAAAGGTTTACGAATGAAATGCTATTGACAATGTGCATTAGGGTAGTTCTAATTATTGTGTAGAGCGATACTGAAACCATTGATATCTTGTTGAAAGATATCTCATTTGAGCAAATTTGATCGGATTTCAAATACGAATAGAGGAAAAACATTTTGACAAGTAAAAGAAGTTTGTTTTATAAACTTAGGTAATACAAAAATTTTATACGAAGTTAAAAAACTATATTCAGGCTGAAGGTAGAGCAGCTTTTCAAATTTTGTTATTGTTATAACTCAATAGAAACTAAATCTGCTTGCAAAACAAATTGACCCTTTTATCATCTCATATAACAAAGTAATGTCCCGAAAAGCCAAATGAAAATCTTTCTCTATGCAAGAGAAAGTTCAGTTTTATTAAAAAAGTGTAGGGCGATATTAGAAATTTATTAAAATCATGAGTACTTAGTTTGAATATGTTTCATTTGAACAGATTTAATTAGATATCCAAGAGAAACAGGTGGGAAGCAACCTCAAAAGTGAAAGAAATTTCTTTCTGTGAGGTTTCTCTTTGGGGATGTATATGATGATGACTTCAGCCTCTGAAACTTTCGTAGGCTAAATGAAAATCGTATATGAATATAAAGTATCTAACGATGAGAAATCTCAGGTCAAAACTGTCTACTGTACTTTTGAATAAATGTATAGTAATAATATATATGTATATATAAATCCAATCTGATCTTTATTGATGAATATCTATAATGACATATATATATATGTATATATTAAATGTTGAAAACGATGTTGATCAGTAACAATAATGAGCAACGATAATAATAGAAAAAATAATAATAACAAAGAAAAAACGATGATAACAAGAGAAAAACAAGATCATATTTAGAATATGAAAAGAAAAAAGAAAAAACGTAATAGAAAAACTAGAATGACGCAATATGGAACAGATCATCGTGATCTCATGATGATCAATGGAACATATACATATACGAAGGGAAAGAAAAAAACATAAATATGTATATAAGGCACTAGACATAAGTTAGCGTCATAATGTGACATCTGTTGACGCTAACACTTTCATGAATTTTAAACAGTAAGTTTTCAATTTATTCCTATAAAACACGAACACTGGTAAATGTGATTATGAATATGACGAAAACTTTTAATCACCAGCAAACTATTGAACGTTCCTGGCTGGAGAAGGGAAGGGAAAGCATTGAGTCCTATGCGTCATGCTTTTGTCGTGTTTAGCAAGACGGAATTTCGGCCAGTTCTGCCGAACTGTGTATGAATAACAAATATTTTCTTCAAAAGTATTTTATTAAAGCAAAACCATTTTCGCTGTGTTACTTCAGCTTTTCGTGGATCTCTATCAAATCATAGGGAAGCATCGGGAAAATATTACTTTCATACGCATTCGATACCGTTCTATCGAATATAACACTTAGTTTTTTTTACTATCAAATTTATTGTTTTTTTTTATTGTTTTGCTCGAACTATCCTATAGCGGTGCTCTTTACTCATATATAAGGTAGTAGTCGCCGTAAATGGATAGTCCGGCTAGTCTATGGAGTAACGGGTCATAGTAGGACGCAATCTTCTACCACCTCGTAGATTTGGATATATTTTTAGTTGGATATCCGAAGACTACTTCTGCAATCAGTAACTGTTTACATGAATTAATGTTTATATATAAGATAGCGCTCACTTGTATTAGAGGTATCAATAGCGGTTGTATGATAAGGACGATCAATCCTGCTTAATCGATACCACGGATTTTCATGAAACTTTTCCAGTATGGAGCTTCAAATGAGATATGAAAACTTTTAATATCCCAGCTTACAAAACCATTTCCTTGCTGGCATATCCAAACTATAACAGAGACTCTATCTAGAATTATAATTCAGATGCTTGTTCTCAATGACTTTCCGACCAGTTCTTAGTTCAAAGCCACGAGTTCCGGCCTGAAAATTATAGAGTTTATCGGAATGGGAAACAAGAAGAATCGAATATCCGTATTCAGCGAGCGGTTATGTTCAATACTGGCAGACAATGAAATAAATCGGCATGAAATAAATCGGCATGAAATAAATCGGCCATCGAATCCCAGCATTGTATTCTTGTTTCTGTGATTCGACACTTTTTATATTTTTTTCAGCTGAAATCAGCCATACGTCACTCGTCTGTGTATAAATTACATTCCTCTGAATTGTAAAATATCATTTTCCATTAATAAATGTCAGTGTTTTTGTTTAGAAGACATCTCATTAGAGTGCATCTATGAGATATCGCCAGTCGATGCGACGATCACGTCCAAATCCAGTGAAATTCTCACGGTTAGCAGAACTCATTACAGTGATCATTTTGTTTATAAATTTTTTGAGGGCTCATCCTATTTTCATAAAGATTTTTGTCAAATACTAACAGTTCATTTTGTATAAAACTCGGGATGTAACAATACCAATACCGATTGGTATTTGTAGTTTGCTAAGAAAAATCAGAAATTTTCGAAAAACCAACTATAGATTCTTGATCTTTTCGTCAAACTATGAAGTTCACTATCAAGATTCCAATACTGTATTGATATTGTTATATTCCTATAAAAAATGTATTATTTTGCAAAAACAGAAAGCCTGTATCTTTATCAAAAAATAGGTAATTGTCCATTATAATCTACTCAAATTAGAATATCAATAACATATTCGGAATCCTCGTGAAAAATGGCGTCAGAATCCTTACAATTCTGGAAAATTTCCGAACTGACTAAACCACCATCCAAGCCTATTCCCATTTTCTAATTGAGTTTTGTAATACACTTTCCATCCCTCTTTTGCCATACAGAATAGAAATAAACTCTTAATGAAAGCATGAAAACTTTTCAGATTTCTAAGAATTCTGCCGTAGTTGTTCACGAAGATTCTGAATATGTGATTGTTTTTCTCATTTGGGTAGATTATAATGGACAACTACATAGTTCTTGAGAAAGATAGTTTTTTTCCGTTTTTTCGCAAAATAATGCATTGTATACAAAAATACACTGTTATTATGTGACTTATATTTTTTTGTGAGAATACACCCTAAAAAGAATTAGTTTAATATCAAACTCCTTTTAACTTCCGGAGCAGGTTCAAAGCCTGTAATCGGTCTTTTCACGAATACCAACGTGAAATCTTTGCTACAAAACCTTTATGAGATTCATAAGATTAAAAAAAAAGTTCGGTATGAAAGATATAAAACCATTTAAGTTTGATACGATGTCTTACAGGACTCGTAGTAAACCGTAAGACATTTGTACTAAACTTCAAAGAGTTCGTATGAAACTTGAATAGTTTTGTATCTTTCATACCAAAGCTTTTTCCATCTTACGAATCTTATAAAGGTTTCGTAGTAAAGGTTCCGAGTTTGTATCCGCAGGAAGAATCATTATATGTTTTGAATTTGCTCCGAAACTTGAAAAGGATTTGGTGTTAAACTGATTTTTTTAAAGTAAGGGAGAGCTTTTAAAAAATTTTATAATAAAAATAATCAGAGCAATGAGTTCTACAAACCCTGAAAGTTTCACTGGATGTAGATATGGTCGCCGCATCGGTTGGCAATATCTTACAGATATACCCATTAAATACCTGAAAGATAGAACTTGCGCAACAAATGGCCACAATGAGGAGGAGTTCAGACAAGAGTCTCCAACACTCCATCTTTTGCCATTGTGGCAAAAGGATTTATATCTCAAAAAACCTTCGCATAAATTATGACACTAATAGAGAGATTTGTAAACTCTTTATTTCAAGAA